AATCTGGTTACTTAGTATTCTTAATGATTAAATAATTTTTTGCAAGTTCAGAAATATACTATTCTTATAGGCTTTACTCTTATTATTTATTAGGACTGCTCATATCAGTTTCAGTTTTTAAATCTATATTTTACTTTTCTTTTTACTACTACAATATGTACTAGATGTCAATTTAATTCTAATACAATCACCAACAAATGCACTATCTTTATTTCTACAAACCTGGTTATTAAACTACTCTACTATAGTAATTCTGACAAAACTCTTAACTTATATACCAATTTTCTTGATATTGTATACTCTGTAACTATTTGATATACTTTATATATTCCATCCTTTCCTTCAGTAATAATCAAATCACAACAATTATCTTGTATTTTTTAGTCAAATTAACTTACTAATAACTTACAGTTTATTATAAATTCCAATTACAATCTAACTACTATTTCATTCTATACTGATGGTTTTGTTATTAAGCTTGGTACCTTCTAATGTTCTATAGACATAAGTTGGGTTTAAATCAATAATTCTGCAACTATTGACTCATTTTAGGTACAAGTTAAACTCTGACTATGCTTCTTTAAAGCTGAAATTCTTGCTATTTTCTTAGCAATTATAACTGTTCCTAGAAACTGTTTTGTCTATATTTTTATTGATTCATAATCTTTAATCTTCAAATACTATAGTATCTGCTTATTAGTATCTAAATTCTCTCATATTTATATCACATACTTTTCTATTTGGCAAACTTTTATTAACTTTATTAATTTATATAACATTTAGCTTACTTTTCACAAAGTTACTGTATACTAAGATGACCTATTTAATAATCTTGCTAACCAACTTAGTTGTAGTCACAAATACTATCCTTTTTAATATTCTTAACTAACAACTTTTATAACTCTGACTATACTCTATTTATTGACTAATTTTTTATTGAAATTTCTATTTGATACTCTATTTATACTATTTGTCAAGCTCATATCATAACATTTTGGACATCTCAATATTGTTTTAACAATAGTCTACTTTTGTCTCTAATATCAACTAGAAAGTCACTTGGTTTTACATCAATAATAATCAAAAGGGTTCTAACTTTGTTTATAACTTCTATTCCTCTATTCTAAAAATTTTCTGTATTAAAATTTTCTTAGATGAACTACATTCTTTACAAATATAACTTCTCTTACTCTTCTTTTGTTACCAAAGTAATCAAACTAGCTCTTTATTATACTAGACTCTTTGTTCTTTTACTCAAACAATTTATTATTTAATTTTCAATTCTTTTAGTTATATCTTAAATAATATTGCTTTTGACATGTCTACTAATCTTGTTACTAATTTATATCAAGAAATTCTTACACTTAATAGCTTCAAATTACACAACTCTTTACACATATCATTTCTTATTTCTATCTTATCTGATCTAGTTCCTATTGACCTTATTTTTACCATTTATAATACTTCTATTTTTTATCATATAGTTACTTCTTTTTTTATTAAATTTTTTTTATTTAAACCAAATATAGATCCTATATTGTATTTCATATTCTGCACAGCCTCAAACTATACTTACTACAAATTTAATTTATAATTTACTTTCTAGTTTACCTTTGCCTCCTATTTTAATATTACAAATTATTGTCAAAATTGATCTTTGAACTATCTAATGGATTAAATATTATATTCCTCTCTTTTATATTATTACTAATATCCAAATCTAGGTGAGCCTTAGCCACTCTTATAGATTTAGGCTACAGATTATATGTTTAAGTTTTTATTCTTTATATGTAATTTAAAAACAAGCTTTTCTTTATAAAAACTTTAATTGAATTTCAATAAAATTAAAAACATGACCTTATCATTAATATTTAAAAAAAGGTAAAAAGGAAACTCAAATACACTTAGCAAGTTGTATTGAATAAAAAAATTTATAAAAGAGAATCCAAAAGGTTGTAATGACAGTAACATGAAATAGTTTTAAAAAAAATAAAAAAGTTAGAATCTCACCTTTAGTGCTATATGAGTACTATTTGAGAAAACAGAAATAGAAGAAATTATTAATAGAAGGGTTTTGATAAAAGGAATAATAACAAATGAAGTTGAAAAAAGAATTAGTCAAATTCTAAATAGACAAGTAACACAATAATGCATAGATATAGTAACAAGAATAGTATAGAATGCATTTTATAACCTAATATAGAGAGTTTAATATAGAAAAATACAAGAATATAAAAAAAAAATTAGTATAATAAATAAAATAAAAAAAGTACTTAAACTAAAAAAATATTAAAAAAAAAAATAAAGAAAGATAAGGTGACAAAGAAAGAAGAGAAGAAAAAAAGGTAGAAAAAATAAATCAAATGAAAAAAGAAGCTTGAAAAACAATTGATATACTTGTTACAGAAAGAAGAAGACCTTTCTAATATGGCTTTAAGTGTTAGACAAGTAGTCTATTCTAACTAAGATAGTATGACAGGTTGCACTTAGATACTAATAGGGTGACTAAATGATACTAGACTTGAGTATTAAGAAATTTTATATAATTATAAATATATATAGATTCAAAAATCTTAATAAAATACTAACTTAATTGCTTAAGATTAAAAAAAAGATCAAAAAGGTCATTTTAAATAAAAAAATAAAAAAATAAAAAATAAAAAAATAAAAAAATAAAAAAGTAAAAAAATAAAAAAATAAAACAATAAAAAAATAAAAAAATAAAATTTTGTTATTAAATAAAATATATAATTTAGAATAATATTTTCTAATAAGAATTATATTAATTATTAGTCTTCTTTTTCTTTTTTTTGATAGTAAGATGATTTCTTTGGTTTTGGATTTTTATTAATAACTTTTTGATAATGGAATTCTATGAACTACTATAAGAGAAAGTACAATTGACTATATATATAACTTTTCTATATTATTTATTTAAGAAGTCCACTCAAAGGTTCTTTACCAATTGCATATCTAATATTTCTGCTTGAATGTTTTACTTTAAACTCTCTGAACCTATAAGCTGTATTAACTAGGGTTCTGCAAATGCCCATGCCAGGCATACTGGACATGACACCAGGCACTAGTGCCCATGGCATGCCTGTACCCATAGGCATAAAAAAATTATATTCTGAAGGTGTCAGGCACTTTTGTAGCAAGCACTAATATGGGTGCAGACACAAAAATGCTGGGCCTAAAAGTGTTACACACTTTTGTGCTAGGCACTTTATGTTCACATCTACAAAAGTACCAAGGACTTTTGTGCTAGGCACTTAGTACTTGTGTCTAAAAAGTGCCAAAGGCACTTATGTGTTAAGCATTCTGTGCCTATAACTATAATAAAATCTGAAACTTCGAGGCCTGTACCAATCTAAAAAATTTTGCTATAAAATAAAATCAAACCAAAAATACATTCAAATTCTAATACTAACTCTAATATTGAAACTTTTCAGTTTAGTCTTAAGTTTTGAAACATTACTGTTTTATTACTTTAATTCTTAGTTTTTTTCAATAATAATTAAGATATACATTTAAAATTTGAATTACTTAATTATTACATATATTTTAATCAACTCTGACCTATATTAAACTAATATATTAATTAACTTTAATAAATTAATAATCCAAAACCTCATGAGAAGCAGCTAGCTTATTGATCATATAATTAGAAAGGTTACCTTAATAAGTCTAATTACTATTAGAACTAAATTGGTATATAATTGTATATTGTTCTTTCATTCATTAGTAACACTATGAATAAATATTGCTAAGTCTTGGATAGAAATAAATGAATTGTATATTTGCTAGTGTTAACATCATTTGACAATTTGAGCAGTCTTCGCAACAGAAGAATAAGAACCAATTAACATTACTATTTATAAATATAGATTATGCTTGAACTGAAAAATATAATATTGCCATCATGGGTCAGTGTCTTGAAAATTGTTTAGAAGCTATTTTAATTATATAAGATATTTATTAGAATGTTTCAAAATATAAATTAATTGTATATTACTTATCCAGAAACTATATACTAGATTGATACTGTATGTAGGTATAGTTTCTTGCTTTATTCATTAAACTATGTAAATAAAAATTAACCTGTAAGTTAGTTCATTTTAATTAATTAATTAATATATCAACATACAATTGTATTAATCAATTTTGTTAATAACCTTTTCACCAATATGTAGCAATTTTGTGCCTATTTTGGATTTAAGATTAGCCAGATTTATAGTTAATATTGGCTTCAAATTTATCGCTAGTGAGCGAATTATGTCAAAACCAAAATTCAAAAAATTTATTGCCAAGTATCATATAAGTAATTAGCATTTGGTATTATCTAGTTCAGGCATTGAAGTTAATTGTCACATGGCCAATCGATATTCTATGCAATTAGTTCAGAATTAATAAGTAAAATCGATAGTGCAGGAATTAAAATCTAAATCATGCGATAAGGTAATACGATAATAATTAGATAGTAATAAGTTTATATATATTTGTATGTAATAAAGTAGTCATTTGGTTGTAATAATATAGTAGTATTTAGTTAAAAAAGAATCGAACCTGTAATAAAAAAAAAGTTAGTTGTTTGCGAATTTAATAAATAAAAATAATAAAAGAATAATTAGAATATCAATAAAATCATAAAGAAAACCTGAGACTCGAGTGCTCTTAATAAACTGAAGCCTAGTTTGAGTAAGACTTGAGGTCATTTTGCTAGTAATCTCTTAACTCTATAACATTAATAATCAGCAATTAAAATATAGAATTTGTGAGAAAATAATGTAGTAATACTTAGCTTACGCATATATGTTATGCAATAGTGTAGTAATTTGATAAGCAGTAATATAATTATATAGTAATGTTCAAAAAAGTATATTATCTGAATAAAAAATAATCGATATTAGTAGAGTGAAGAATCTAATCTGTAATAAAGATATTTATCATTGCTATTTCAATAAAGAAAAAGCAATATTTTTTTATATTACTTTTTTTAAATGGAAGATTTAACAGAATCCCCGAATGATTTCGTATCTAGTAATTCAACACAAAATAATATTAATAATACTAATTCAGAAGTAGTGAGTAGTTCATATTCCACTAAAGATCACTGGGAGATAGTATTGCATAACAATCAAAGAGTTTGGCAATGCTTACATTGTAAAACAAAAGTGTATTCAATAAATACTAGTAGAACACACTTTAAAAACCATACCTTAACATGTCCTAGCACTCTAGCAAGTTTGATTCAAGATAAAACATTCAAACAGATTACTAAAGAAGATGTTGACAATTTGATAGTAGACTTAGTTATTGGAACAGGGATGTCCTTTAACATTCTTAACAATCCATTATTTCATAATATGGCAAGAAAGCTTTATTTTGTTACTAGTACATATAAAGTCCCACATCCTACAACAGTATCACGACACCTTACTGGTAATATATTTAATAAAAGATTCGAATTCATTAAAAATATATTAAATAAATGTTTAGGAAAAATCTCAATAACATGTGATGGATGGCATTCTACAGTTCATAAATGTCATTATGTTGTAATTACTGGTTCATGGATTAGTGATGAGTGGCAAATAGTTAATATTGTTCTAAGTTTCCAAAAATCTGGTCAGACAGCTAAAGAAATTATATCAACAATATTGAATACATTAGAAAATTATTCTATTAAAAATAAAATATTTGCACTTACGTAGATAATACTACCACAAACAAGGCAGTTAGTCATATGTTAGAAAATGAATTACCAGATGTAGAATTAATATCAATAGGTATAATTATTATTTTAATTATAAAATTATTTTTTTAAGTTTTTTTTTTTAATCTAGTTTAATTTTCTAATTTATTTACTATATATATTTTAGGATGCATGTGCCACATCCTTAATCTAATTGTAAAAACGGGTTTGAAAGAAATAAGTCCACTGCAAACAAAAATTCATAAAGTAATGAAGTATTTGGCAAATCCTTTAGCCAGTAATCAATTAAATATGTTAGAATCATATTGTCAAGTTTCTGGCATAAAGTTTTTACGACCTATTATTGAAATTGATATGCATTGGAATTCAACTCTAGCTATGTTTAATAGATATCAGCACTTACATCTAGCAATCCGTGAAATGTTTTTAAAAGAGCCATTGATGCCATCTTGCTTAGAGTGTAAAGACTTAATAGAACTTGAATCATTTTGCCAACTTCTCAAACCATTTGAAACTGCCACATTTGTTCTTTCTAAAGATCAATCTAATTCTATTTCAAAAGCAATAACAGTGATTTTAGAAATTGCATAGCACATTAATAAAGCTAAAAATCATAATAACGCAATTCAGTTAATGAAAAAAAATTTAATAAATATTGGAGTGCAATAGTTGATCATGTTATTATTGCTCATGTACTTGATCCACAATACAAGTTTGAGCATTTAAAAGAAACTTTAATTGAAGCTGACAGATATAGTGAAACTTCTGCAGAACTATTTGTTAAAGATATTTGACATAAAGTTATTTTATATGAAATTAAATATACAGATGTAAGTATATAAATTAGTAAATATAATTTTTAATTTAAATATAGCAACAAATTTTAAGTTTTTTTATTTAATTCTACAATTATAGAAAAAATTACCTACTATAACAAGTTATAACGATCCTATATCTGATTTATTTTTTCCTATATGGCAAACTTTAAAGAAACCACGACCTACTATAAACTCAATTGAATATGAAATAGAACTATATGAATGAGAGCCTCTAGAAGAATATATAAATAAAAATGATGAGAAAGAAAGTAATGGAATCTTATATTGGAAATCATTATCAAATAGATTTCCTATTCTTAGTAAAATGGTACATGATTATCTCAGTATTAAACCTTCGAGTGTTTCTAGTGAAAGGGTATTTTCAAGAGCTGGCTTTACTATTACCAATAATAGAGCAAATCTTAATGAAAAAACTATTTCTTGTGCAATTCTTATGCATTCATGGTTAGTAGAAAGCCAAAAAAAAACTTAGTCCTCTTAATGATCTTCCAGATTCCAATTGATTTACTACATATTTCTTGATACATATATATATCTCTTATTTTAAATTTTAGACTTCTATTTGCAAATTTCTCAGTTCTGATGTATTCTCTTAAACTAAATAAAGTTATAAAAATAAAATTAGTCTAGAATATTTTGCTAAAATATCAGCGCAAAAAGTTTGTAAGGTCTTAAATTATCAACTAAAGAATGTTGCAGCTAATTATGAAATCAGATTATTGTAAAATTTGGAGTCTCAATTTAAAAATATAGGCTCTACCAAAATTCACTTATACTCTTTTATTAAAAACTTTAATCCTAAATCCTAACTTAATTATAAAAAAAAAGTTTACAAAAAAAGCTTAAAAAAATTTAAAAATTGTACATGAAATAAATCCAAATCACAATAATCCAATTTCATAATCAGCTGCAACATACAATATATTCAATCTAAGTAATATTCATAGGCAGAAGTTTGTCTAATTGACTAATAAGTTCAATTTAATTTTACATTATTTATACAGTTTAGAGTACTTTTCAAAAAAATAAAAACCAACTATAATAAAGTAAAAACAAATTATATAGAAGGTTTCATTAGAGCTGTAGAACTCCATAGTCAAAAATAAGATCTAATTCTCATCTGTTTAAAAAAATTAGCTTAGTAATAAGTTGATTTTATTGGGTTTTGAGAAGTTATTGCTATACTAACTTTTTTAAGCAAATGAGAATTAGATCTTATTTTTGGCTATAGAATCCTACAGCTTTAATGAAACCTTCTATAAGTTTTTTTTTACTTTATTGTGGTTGGTTTTCTTTTTTTAAAAAAGTACTCTAAACTGTATAAATAATATAAAATTAAATTGAATTTATTAGCCAATTAGACGAACTTCTGCTTATGAAAGTAATATATTATATTCAATCTTGTAATTTGTAACACATCAAGTTTTCAGACTAAGTCAGTTATAAGGTTTGAGCTTATAATATTAATTTATAAAAAGGAGGATTAATATTAGAAATTACTCAAGTTAACAACATAATATGAATTTAAAAAATTCGTAAAATATCAGAAATTCTTTTTAGTAAAAAATGCTTATTAAATTTGTAGAATAGCTAGAAAAATAAGAATAGTTAGAATTTTAGTTTTATTATATGTAATAAAATAATATACTGTAAACTTCCATTAGCTAAACAGGGGGAACTGCTAATATTACACCAAGTGAGAGATTATATCCATCATACTTGAAGTTATATATAAATAATTTCAGTTTGACTGATCAACCTATGTGAACAACGGGTGAAGGATTATATCTATAACATACATTTTAGAGTAAACTCAATATAAATAATTTTATTATTGATTAACTACATGGTGTGAAGGATTAATGTGTAACATTAATGGTTTCTCCTATTCATTAGCTACAAGCAAATTTGTATAAAAATTCTAATACTGATGTAATGGTAATGAATACTTAAATATTATTTAAATAATATAAGTATACAAGCCCAAAAATAGCAGGCATTATTAAGTCAGGCACAAAGCATCTATGGTTACAGAAGTGTCTGACAATTTTAAGCTAAGCACAGAATGCTCTAGGCAAATGTGTTGTGTAAGTACAGAAGTGCTAGGCACTTTTAAGCCAGACACAAAATGCCTGTTGGCATAGAAGTGTTTAGCACTTTTAAAGCCAAGCACAAAGTACCTGTTAGACATATTATTGCTAGGTACTTTTAAGACTAGGCACTAAATGTCTGTGCCTAGTTTTGTGCCTCTGGCCTAAAATTTTTTGTAGAACATAGCCAAATGCCAGGTTGCAGAACCCTAGTGTTAACTCACAGAGTCATATTCAAATAGTTTTCTTTTTTTTAAAAAATATAAAAAGAATATAAGTTACAAATTAATTACTAAAATTAAAAAATTTTTTAAAATTAGTAAAAAAAATATAATTATAATTTATATTTATTTATAATATATTATACACAAAAATTTGTTTATAATTTAGATTTTTTAATAATAAAATAAACTAATATTTTTATATATTAAAATATAACTCAAACAATTTTTATTATTTATTAAAAAAAACATTATAACTTTAAATTTTAAATTAGATAGAAATGATCTTATAATATAATTTTAATTTAATATTAAAGAATTTTATAAATTTTATAATTAGTATTTGTTATTGTATATAATAAATAAGTAACATATTAGGTTTAACTTATAAATAACTTGTCTGAACTTCTAATTTTAATATTTTATAGATATAGAATTCAAATATTATTTTTTTCAGTATATTTTACTTATAAAAAGTTTAACTAAATTTTAATAAAGATAAAAAAGTATGACTTTATCTTTAATATTAAAAAAATATATAACACATATTTTATAACACTTTGCTTATCCTTTATTTCATATTTGTTATATTTTTAATTCTTTTTATATTAAAATAAAAAATCAAATTAAGTAATATTTCTTGTAAAGATTTTTAATATGATTTAATAATTATTGAACTTAATAATCTATTACATAAGTTTTTACAAAAATAAATTATTTATTGTGAATCTGTAAATAAAGTCTAAAAAAAAAAAATTGATTTTCATAATTATCAGGTAGAAATGCAAATTATTTTACCAGTATTATCAAATATTGTACAAAATTACATGACTTCTGGTTTCTAGCTGCAATGTAGAACACAGCTTTTCTATATATAATAATCTTTTAAATAATGACTGTCAAAATCTTTTACTTAATTCTTTAAAGCAAATAAGCATGTTATATTTTAATAACAATTAATTTTTGAAGAATTTTAATAAATGAAATATTTATTTAGCACATGATATCACAGAATTAACACTAAACTAACACAGAATTATGCAGAAATCGATATTTTTATCACAGACTCATCACAAAATTTTATTTCACATGCAGAATTTGATCTTAGTATGATCCGGGATGATCAAAATTTCTCTATTTGATTGGTCAATCATCACGTGCTGTTGGGTAGAAAATCATCATCACAAAATCATATGCCCTATTATAAAAAAATTTCACAACATAAATATATACTTAAAGAGAATAAATCGATATTCAACCATAAAAAATCAGTAGTTATCGATTGTCAGATTTTGTAAGTCATTGTCTATATCTAAAATTGACCCGCTATACGGTATAAACTTGCTTCCGTTACTAAATGTGTCAGAATATGATTTTTCGATATTTTCAAGTTTTAATATTGAATTATTCAATTCCAACAAAACATTTTCGTCCTTTTGCCACTTTATAAAAATTTTGCAGAGTTCTTCTGCTGTTGGTCGTTTGTCAGGTTCTTTATCCCAACATTCTTTCATCAGATTTACATAACATTTTGGTGCTTCTTCATTAACAGGCGGTCGTAAATCATCACATATTTTTAATTGAAGTTGCAATTTAGTAAATTTATGATCATAAGATACAGGTATTCCATATAAGATTTCCCACATTATTATTCCAAACGAATAAATATCAGATTTTGTAATATATTGTTGACCAATTAGAATTTCTGGGGCGATATATGGCAAAATCCCAAAAATTCCGTTTTTCTTTTGCTCGGAATTAGAATTTGATAGTCCTAGATCAGAAATATATGCGCTACGTAACTCGTCTTGCAAAATGTTTCCGCTGTGTAAATCTCGATGAATATATCCTTGAGAATGAATCGCTTCAAGGTTAGAAACGATATAATTTAATAGTTTTAATTTATCTTTCCATCTCATCCGAGATACGTCTTGAAGGTTATTTCGTAAAGAGCCCTTTGATGCATATTTTAAGACAAGAATATATTCTTTGGAATTCGGTCGTTGTGTTACTCCATAACATTTTAGAAATGATGGATTTTCGTGTCCGATCTTACTATATGCTTTTAACTAATTAAATCAATTAGTCATATGTCATATAATCAATTAAAAAGTATAATAATGATGAAATTACCTCATTTATAAATTCATAATAATTTATTTTATTTAGCGATTTAAGGGCAATTTTCGATTTTATGAAAAGATTATGGGACCAATCTGCACTATATACCGTTGAAAATCCACCTTTACCAATCTCTTTGATATTCTTGAATTCATTGTATGGAATCCATAATAATTGATGATATTTTTCATCATTCAATATTTCTTTTAAATCATCATTTAAATTATTTAACGTAAATTTGGCTCGTCCCCTATTTATATTGATGAGTAAAATATAAACATTTATATTTGTATTTTTATTTTTTTATTTCTTTTTATTTT